CCCGGGGGAGGAGAGGGGGTGAGAGGGAAGGCCACCTGAGACCAGGCCTGCCCCGGCAGCACCACTGCGCCCTGCGCCACCCTGCAACGTCATACACTGGACTCGCGCGAATACTTGAAAAAGCCGTCACTCATGAATTACTGACATAGACAAAGTGTGTTCGGGCGAGGTGCATGGTAAAGCTGAAATATAGCAAAAGCTCGGGCCCCTATAAGTTGTCTCGGTTTAATTTTCTCTCAGTGTTTCCACCGGTCGACCTTCCCGCCATTTTACAGCGGTCGATAACGATGTGAGAATTTGGTCGTTTTACGTGAACACTAAATTATTCACCTATTATGTATAATACTTTTTTTACATAAGCTGTGAACAATTTTGTTTTCCATGTTCGTATACCCGAAGGCTTGCAACGAATAAAGAACGTAGCTTGCGTATTACAATTTGCATGCCATAAAATCATAGTGTCCTTTATCAGAATACGATAAGCGGTTTACAGGGGGCCACGCAAAGTCCACCTCCCCCACTTTTTCGTTAGTGTCTGACTGTTGGCACTGTGGGAGGGAAGGCCAAAATGTTACAGACTTCAAAGTCACCCCGCAAGAGCGCGCTACCTCAGTGAACGAAACAAATGCAGTCGCAGTCGTAGAGGGCGGAGTGCGAAGCCCAACTCGTAGAGTGCCAGTTAAAAAAAATATAGTGTTTATTGTTTATCGTCACACTCGAAACAAAATTTCGGTGTGGAAAACTTCGATGTCAGTTGGAGCTATTCTCGGATTAAAATCTCCTACAAGTTTGGCCGCATTGTCAGCGGAATCTTGTCATCGTATTTCAGTATGGCTGCTACTACCACATTAGTCTTTGAGGTTAGGGTTAGGTAGGTACCTCTCCAATGGCAAACCCCTCTTGATCCAGTTGTAATGTTGTTATAGTGTAATGTTGCACAAGTAAGTTCTTACTCTCAGTATAAGACTGCATCTCAGTCCCACCCAGCACCCAGTCACTGCTCATGTGTGTGGCTGTGTCTTTTAGTTCATCTTAGTCCCACAGAGTCTTTGATGAAAGTGTGCCTGTTTAATTTATCAAATATCACATTATCAAATGTGGGTAAGAGTTCTTTAATACAAATGACCGATTCTACGTGTGTGTGATGTGTTTTGTTGTTTCAGCAGGGACAAGTATTCATACGGTCATTTCTAACAGTCATCTGGTATTTGCCTCCATCCTCCATCCCCATTCAAATAGTAAATTGAGACTCAAATAGAGGTGAAAAGAGAGTGCATTTACAAACTTACTCAAGTTGGGCAATAACTACATTTCTAAAATATGGAGAGGTTTCCACTTTTATACTCATTTAGAATGAGATATTTTTTTGTTCATAGCTTGCGTATGTACAGTTTAGAACATAAACGATATAGGTCTTTTCATTTCTCCATCATCAATTAAACTTTATGATCTATGCACCAGAGTCTTATCTATGCGGGATAATCCAGAGAGTACGTTCATTATTTGCCTTTACGATTTCCGAAATTAACTAGTGTGTCCAAGGCAAGCTCTCATGGCGCCTGTTAGGTAGGCAACATCCTGCATGCAGTGCATGCATGTACTGCGGAATGGCCTACCCCGAGTGTCGCAGGCGCCGAGCTCCCGTACTTTACCGAATAAGTCTGAGAAAAACCAGAGAAACACGTACTTTTTCAACGATCCTGAACTAATCCTTCAAAGTGTTCACGGCTCTTATCCCTAACATTTATTTTCCTTACAGGCTTTGCCGACGCTCTCTTCGGCAAGCGGAGCCCCATCGACGATGTCCCGCTGCCGCAGCCCATGCCGCTGGAGGGCGGGGGCGGCCCGGACGGCCCGGAGGCGGCCCCGGGGGCGGAGGAGGCCGGCAAGAGGGCCGCCGAGCCCGGCGAGGCGGCGGACAGCCGCGGGGGCGGCGCGCCCCTCGTGAGCAGGTCCGCCCCCACGCCCACGCCCTCGCCCGCGCACGCGCCGTACCCCGGCCACCTGGACGACAACAGCCTCGAGTCTGGTGAGTAACGGACACCTTGATGTCCTCGCGTCTCTCGGACGCCGAACATCGCTCTGCTTGCTCTCTGAGTGTGGAGCCGCTAGCCGAGCTCATGCAAGCTACACCGCCGAGCTAACTTATTAACGTTGTCCCTCCGACAAAGGGACCATGACGACCATGATGCGGAGCCCGCGCGGAACGCGGTGCAGCGGGGCCGCCGGGGGCAGGATGTTTGGCGAGGGAGGCGGGCGTGTCGGGCGGTCCAGCGCTCAGCCTCCAACGCAACTGGATATTCCAATCCGTTCGAAGAATCCACTCCATTCCGAATCGGACACCGCATACACGGGCCCCGCGCTTGCCCTGTGCATCACGCGCTCGCGTTTCTGTTCGGCGGACCGAGATGTTGTTTCTGTGCGGTGGTTCGTTTTTCTCTATCGCCCCCGTCCGCGCGTGTGAGTGAGAGAGAAAGAAGGGCGCCCCGCCCTTCCCTCACGCCGGGAGTGCCCCGTCAATCGGAATAGCAAATAAGCTAAGTACCAAATACCGAACTCGCCGCGGGGCTGGCTCCTGTGCTCTGTGGCCACAGCCGGCTGCGGACAGCCGGTCTAATGCTTTCCCGGAATAGCATTTTAATGGGAGGTCTGCCTCTTTGGCTCACCGGCGTTCAAATGCTGAATAATGGCTTCCCCGCTCTTGGTACATTTGTTGTTTCATTGTTCTCGTTTATCTTTTCGATTTTTCTCTTAATCATGCCCGCGCATTATTTATTAAACTTTTTACAAACCAAACTATTACCTTGGGCTCTTGCCGTGCTCGTGCGTGCTTATAAGCATAGCAAACAGAGTGTATTTCTGTTTATGATGTGATTCGTTATACGCCGAAGTAGTAGATGGCCTGAGAGGTTCCGTAACGGCAGACGACAGTGTTCAGGAGGCCGATGAATGATGCACACCAAAGGATGTCAAAGCAACGTGAGCCCACCCCCACCCACCCCTCCCCAACCGCCCCTTTCTTGTAACTTCCCCTGGTCTTTTACCACCTTCCGCTGCGAACGTCTTTTGCTCGCGCCCGTTTACCGCCAGGCTCAGCGTAGCCCGTGTCCAAGAAAGGACCAAACTAGGACCGTTCCGGTTGAGGGTGGTGGGGGGTGGGGATAGATGGAGCTGAGGTGGCAGCGGGGCGGCTGCGGGGGTGTCCAGAGAGGAGAGTGGAGGTCCGAGTGCCTGTCACCGGCATGCAAAAGATGCTGAATGTTTCATTGCACCTGATGGTGAGCCTAATTGACACTCGGACGCTGTGCCCAGCCTGTGTCAGAGGGCAAGCTGTCCTGGGGGAAGGGGTTGGCAGCATGCGCCCCCGCACCCCGCCAGAGCCACCCCCCGCCCTCCTCCTCCTCGCCGCGGAGAGTGCGATGGGGCGTCGCCTGTCACTGTCCGCGCCGCGCCACCCATCTGACCTCAGCGCGAGACTGAGCGCGGCGCACCTGCGCGGCGCTGACACGGCGTGCTGCGCTGTCGTCACAACCTGCGGCCGAGCGGAATCTCTTCGGATAACGTTGTGGAGGAACTGGAAGCTGCGCCATGCTAATGATATGATACTCGTATGACAAACCTCATATAGTTCGCAAACTAGACCGTAAAAGTTGTCGCATACATTTTCGAAGAACTTTTCCATGATCTGCGGCGTAAAATTACAATTTGAAATTGTACATTTTCAAGCAACAAATAATGTAAATTTACGATTAAGAGGATATTTTTCAGTGCACTAAGCACTCCGCGCTACTTTCGGCGTGGTGCACGCCGCACTCCCACCAAACAGTTTTAAGATGCACAAAGTGAAGTCTTATCGAAAAAGTTTTCCAAAGGGAAACAAAAACATAATTTTCATTTCTGATTATTTTTTTAAAATTCTATTCGGCTTCAGTGCACTGGTAAAATAAGTGTGCAACTGCTAAATTTTTTAAGTGTTAAACTGCAAGTTTAGTACTTGCTAGTGTTCAACATCGTACACTTGCTCCTCTGTTGAGCACTTCCGAATGAGTGAGCGGCCAATCGAGAGTTGAACACTTGCAAGTATTCAACTACTTGCAGAGGCACACTCAAAAGTGTTAAGCAGTTGCACACTTGGCCTAGTAGTGTAACCAATATATCCCGCAATTACCGTCATTATTCGTAGGACAACTTTTCAGCGGTGGATTGTCCGCGCCGCGGTTGCCTTAGCCACTCCTCCCCTTCCCCTTCCGTAACCGTGTCACCGTCGTCGTTCTCGACACCGTCGTCCGACGCTGCGTATTGTTTTCCGCCGCCTGATGTTTATAAACATAAACACGCCGGTCTCCGGACGCCACGGGGTTTTAAAATTGGAGGTTCGCTGTCTTGTACAGCCGAATACGCGGGGCGGGCGGGAAGGGGTGGGGGGAGGTGCGGGGGTGGTTCAGGCAGGTCGCACGTCAAGCCGTCAGGGCAAGAATATTCAAAGAGTGGACGCGGAGAGTGGCGAGGGGTGGGGAGGGAGGGGGCGTGCCGAGAGCGAGGCGGAGGTGCTCGCGCCCCGGGGGCGGCGGAGATCGCCATCAGGGGTCGGGTCGGCAGGAGCGGCGGCAGGAGCGGCAGGGCAGCGCCGGGACGACAGTCCGCGGGGCGGAGCAGCAGGCGGAGCAGGCGGCGGAGCAGGCGGAGTGGGTGACAGTTGGTGGCAGGTCACATTAGCACCCCGTCAGCTCGCGGCGCTGTGCCCTGCCTACACTGTCACCCCGGGTGAGAGCGCCGCGCCGGCCGCCCCGCCCCGCCCCAAAGCCCGGCCCCCGCTGTCCGTCACCATGTGAATGTTGGATGTGCACGCTGAGTGCTGATCCCTGTGCTGCTGCCCTGTGCTGGCCGTCGAGCCGAGCCGAGCCAAGCCCAGCCCAGCCGAGCCGAGCCGGGTCGGACCAGGCCGGGCCGAACAGGGCCGCGGCGTCAGAATATAGCGGGGCGCAATCGCGGGGGTCGAGTGTTGTGGCCAGGTGCAAAGCGCGGACGGCGCGGGCCGCGGGCGGGGGCGGGGGCGGGGGAGTCTGGCCCGTGCCACGCCGCGCCCGCTGCCGTCCAGTTAGACCAGGAGGGAGATGACGACCTTGATGGCGATTCCCTGTCCAGCCTTTTCTGTTTTTATTGCCCGGCCGCTCCTCTCCCGGTCGGCCGCGACGCCCGTCACCTGCCGGCCCCGCCTGCCGGCCGCGGGGTCGCCTCGCCTCTTGTCATCTCCCGCGGCTAATTATGGCGCGGGGCACCTTGACAGCAGCAGGGATTCGCTCTTCGCCCGCGCCGTGTGCCGTGTCGGCCCCGCGGCCGGCCGAGCAGACGGGCGAGCGAGCGACACGCGCGCGAAATACGAAATATCTGGAGGCGAAAGGAGTGTATGGAAATGGCCGCCCTTTGGGAAAGGGGAAGGCCCACTCTAGATAGGACGGGGACAACTTGTACGAAAGATAAGGTGACACAATTTTGTCCCAAGAAAAGAGTGTGCTTAAAATCGTCATCTTTCTCGGGACAAAAATGTCCTGCTAGTCTGGAAATGCACTCAACTCGTCGTCGCTCGAGAGATGCACAAATGAGAGGTGGCCGCCGGCCGCATCTCACGGTGTGTCGAGTGATGCTCTTCGCGGAATAACGTGACCCGCCACCGCCAAGGCACCCAAGCGACAGTGTTGTTTTCGGTTTTCATCCCTTCTTTCCCTCGCTCTTCACTTACTCTCTCTCTCTCGTCAGCAACTCGTACAAGCACACACACACACACTCCGACATCCTCGCCAGGTGTATATATAGCCCAGTCTTAATGGCCTGGAGCCCGTGCCCTGCGCGGGCAGCGGGCAGCGGGCGTGGACATCGCCTGCTGCGCCTCCGTGTCGTCCGTCCGGCGATGTAGGTCGCGCTTCTGCCACTCCACTGGGCGGCGAGAGGACAGAGGACAGGCAGGGAGAGGCAGACAGGGAGAGGCAGGCAGGCGGGCAGGCGGGGGGATCGAGTCACAGCCGCGGCCGCATTTCAAACTCCCTGGCAACCGGATGAATTTTGCGTGCAGCGCGCTGGTGTGACTGCGATAAATGAATAAATAGCGCATTTTCACTGCCGCCGCCGCCGCCGCCTCTTGTTTTGGAGGGGGTCGCTGCCGCGAGAGCGGTGGTCCCAGCAGGGTGGGCGGCGCGGGGCGCGGATCGCGGGCGGGCGGGTGGCGGCGGTCCGAAGGGGTGGTGCGGGGGGCGCGGGGCTTTACAAGTCGCGGGCTGACAGCTGCCAACCTGACGCCTCGACCCCGACGACCCGTCCGCGAGGTAAAAAGTGTGCGGCGCGCGGAGCGCGGAGCGGCGGGGGCGAGGGAGGGTGGAGGGCGGGGCGGAGCGGAGGGACACGACGGCGCGGGCGTGGCGGGGCGTGGCGGGGCGGGGCGCGGCGGGTCCAGCCTGATACGGCTTTGACCATGTTTGCACTTTGCGCACGTGCATAATTCAGCCCTGTCCTCGGAGCGGCGCGGCGCCCGGCGCGGCGTGTGGCGGAGGACAGGGATGAGCTTCTGCGCTTTGCCTCCGCCGTCGCCGCTTCTCGCGGTGACCCAGTCCGCCCAGTCCACAATCAGATTACCCCTACTAACACAACCACCACCACCACCACCACCACCACCTCCACGACCACCACCAAGCAACTACCCCCCCC